CTCCGGGCCGGCCTGGGCCTGTGCGGCGGCAGCGCGGGCGGGTGGCGTGGCCGGCTGGTCGCCACTCGCAGGTGTGGAAGAGGTGAAGCTGGTGGAGGGAGAGGCCGTGGCAGAGGCCTCTAACTTGAAGAAAGTCGGTTTTCCCACTGTCAATATAATTTAAAATGTGATATAGCTTTCGAGTCCGTCCTCGGGCTGGCCTTGCTGCAGGAAGAGCAGTGCCGGTCCGGGTCGGCCGTGCAGCCACGATCCCTCCTGCCTGGAGCTGGAAACCTGGCTGGCCTCTTGCACCTGCACTCTCCTCTGCTCTAGGAAGAACAGCACGGCCTCGATCAGGCTTCTTCCACATGAAGTTCTTGATAAAACCGTAACGATAATTAAATCCACATTTCAAATTCCTGCCTTCTTCAGATATCAGTGGTCTTTTCTCTCTCCAGATGGGTACATGGTGCCACATTGGAGTCATTTGGGCATATCCCATTGTATTTCTAGCCACTGCTGGATTGAAGTATACGTATCTCCTTTCCTTCCTTGGTATGTTGGCAGTGTCTTATAAGTAAAGCCCTGAGGTTGCTCTGAGAGTTTATGTTCAGTTGAGTGGCTTGCAGTATCCAGTATTCCAGCTAGTATAATTACAGTGAAACTTTTGACAGGGCGTGACTAACAACCAGATGATTAGTAACCTACTTACTAATACATTTAATTGATGTTCTATAGCTAAACAAAACCAAACTTGCATTTATTGTAACACAAGTATAATTCATACCTAGCTGGAAGAGGTTTTCATGATCTTTCTCTGTATTTTTTTCTAGGACCAGATCATTGGTACAAAAATTACCCGATTGCCAAAGGACGCCGTCAGTCACCTATTGAAATCAATAACAAAGACGTACACTACGATCGCTCCCTACTACCATGGTTTGCTAGTTATGATCCTGGTGCAGCTAAGACCATTCTCAACAATGGGAAAACCTGCAGAGTTGTATTTGACGATTCATTCGATAGATCAGGTTAGTTTTGTTTTCATCTCAAGCTGTCATTATATATCAGCGTTTATTTCTCAGGTTGTTTGGGAGACAGAGTGTGCTCTGAATGCTCATGTCTGTCAGAAGGTTTCTGTGTAGACATACAGGTTTCTGAGTCCAATGCCCTGCACAGCTGGTGAGAAAGGCCTGGGACTACTTTTAAAGTCCATAGGTAAAATCCTAGGGATTGGAGAGAGCTGCAAGGAAACTTGGTGCAGGATGAATTAAGGTGTAAGGTAAATTTTTAAGCTTGCAAAAGCCACTGCAGTTGTGTTGCTTTCCAGGAGCAAGGAGTCCAGCCTTTATCTATGAGGACTGAATTCCATTCAAGCTATTTGAGATGCCCTGCAGAACATCTTTGACTGTGTATATGGCTGAAGTTATATTTGAAAACTGTAATATCAGATAAATGATGTTGCCACAAAGTCATCAAAATCAGTTAAAACTCCCTTCGGCATTCATGAGATTTTGTCTTAATGAGGATTATAGGGCTGACAACTTACAGTGGTTCAGCTTTAATGTTCAAAATCATTTATCTAGTTGTAGTTATGACAACTTACAATGTGCTGCATATATAATGCGTAGGTTTTAAGAATTAGTGGGTTATATATATTGAAGAGATATGTCTGTTCCGTTTAACAGGTGCTACAGGTGGTTGGCAGAACCACTGACATTTCATGTTAATGCTCTTGGCTATATTTCAAAGGAAGAAACATTACTGAAAGAAGTATGAAATTGCATTAGTACTGTGATAAAAAGGAAAAATCAGATGCATACCTCACATTTTATTCTTGTATCAAGGTCAACTAAACGGTGTTATTATTTGTAGTACATGGGATGGTAAGAAAAGGAAAAAGAAACGTCAGTTTCAGTAAAATATTGAAAAGTCTGTCTTCCACTGTGTACAGTATAGACTTAGTTCTTAACTGCCTTAAAAGTTGCAATTTCTATTACAATGTAACTAGGAATGACAGCTGTAATTACTAGGAGAAATTTTACTAATAGGTTGATTGATCTTAAATATCTGTGGGCATGGATTTTTAACGAATGACTTGACTTTGACGAAAACAGGATCAAAATGTACATAAGCTGGACTAGTTAATACACTGTCAAAACCCACAGATAGCTCTGCGGTCAAGATTTTGATTACTTTTCTAGCAAAGTGGGAATCTTTCATGTTATTTGAATAAAAATATTAATGTCAGATAACACATCAGCAGAGAGATGTAGCTTTGGCATATGAGAAGACCTCTGTGACCATTACTTACTGTTTTTTACCATATCTTGTATTTGTTGGAACAGCATCAGATATATCAATGGTTGCATCTTCTGCATAAATGTCAAAGTAATTATAATTACTCAGATTTTACATGGGAGGGAGTATCCAGGCACAACCATCTACAGCATGGATGTAACACTGTGGCCACAAAGAACAGGAAGTTTTGGAATGTTACGAGTTTTTTTTTTTCAGAACTGCTCAGTAACTGTTATGTTCTGATCTCAGAAATAAAAAGTGACTCACTGGAAAAAAAGTAGGTGTATTTCTCAACTCTTTGAAGGCAAGAAACATTCAGTGTTTATTGTTATGTCTCCTTTGTTATACCATTGCCTGCAGAGTCTGTGGGTGGTGTTCCTTCTATAATATAATGCTAACTGCAGGACAAATTCCACTGTGCATACTCCTACTGACTTCAGCATGTTTTAAGTTTTTTAGGATATGTATAGTGACTTATTTTTTGTGTAAATGAACCACCAGCTGCATAAAACATACGTATGTAATAGCAGTCATGTCCTTTGGAACAAAGACATTCTTTAAATCTATCTATCTATCTATCTATCTATCTATCTATCTATCTATCTATCTATCTATCTATCTATCTGAGTTATTTCTGAGTTAACTAGAAAACTAAGGGCTTCCTTTATTTTCATTACTTTTTCAGTTAGAGTGGTCATACCCATATCTGTAGTTCTTTCTAGGTTTTCATTAATGGTCGATGAAATAGATTGCAGAATAAATTGCAAAGATGAGTGATAAAACAAATTACATTGGATGTCTTCAAGTTTTACTTCCATTGTGTCTTCTCTTCCAGGATTACTTTGAATATTCACTGATGGGACAGTTTCTTAAATTATTAGAGAGAAGCTTCCAAGGAAAGTGCCATCCATATAATTCACATATTATGTTGATAAAAGCCTTATTACTGTTATCTTTGGAGTTAGACTGGTGGAAGGAATTGGAAAATTTATCTCCAGCTATTTATAAAGTCTTACTGACTTTAAGAATCTGCTGTACAATTGAAGGTTTGATGACAGATACTTGTTTTAGGAGCTGTGTCATGCCTCTGCTGCTGGTGTTGTACAAGTTAATGACTGTTGTAGACTCAGTTGCCTGCTTTACCATACCTTTGTGGAAGAAGGACCTTAAGCACTGTAAAATCACTGTAGGGGGTCTCAAAATCTAGGAGATAACTGGGAGCTGAAATCAAAACCTGCTAGGTGGCTGTGCCAAATAAGATCCATACCAGAACTTAGGTACTGCCACATAGCAGCCTACCACTGCTATGTTTTTTGGCATGAATAGCAACTCGGATACTCTTAGATTCAGCATTGATTCTAGTTTTGTTTTGAATTAGGGCTGCAATCTCATTTATACTAGCAGAGTCCATTTGCTTTTAAACTTCCAAGAAGTATTCATGCCAGAGAAGTGTCCTGAGAGCACCTAACTGGTAGGACCATTGTCATAATGTTGTGTGAGATGTGTAGTTTGTAACTTCCTTATGATTAATATAATACCTGAGTTAGATGGTTAGATGAAGGTGTTTGTTTAATAAACAGTAAAGACACATAATTCTTGTACTGGAACCCAGACAGCAGCTGGGGAGATATACTAAAGCTGTTTGAAATGGATACCTTCTTTCAGCTTCTCAATTTGTTATTTGTGTTACCTCCTTAGCACTTTTTGTGGAAGTTCATTGGCCAAACAGATTTCTACTTCTTCTTTTACTGACTTTCTGATGAATGACATTTAAGGGCTTGGAGTACCTCAGTGCAGGCACAGTTTCTTACAAGGTTACCTTGATGCTGTTTTCAGAATCTCTCAATTTCTTAGCAAAGGAATATGTGCCTTTGGAAGTGGATGACGTGAAAAAAGTTTAAAGAGACAGTTACTCTAAGTAGAGTAAGCTTGTTTCTTACTTATCTCATTTAGCACGACTAGTGCTTGTGGACATTTCCTAGACTATCACTTTGTGGGAGATCTCATTTATCTTTGCAAATGAGATTTTGATTATCAGCTTCTGGTGAATAAATATGTACTTGTTGACTGGTTCTAAAACACTGAGGACAAAACCCAGTAACTTTGATTAAAACTGTGGGAAGTCTGTCCATAGATACTCAAGTTATGGTTGATCCTGCAAAAAGTTACTTAACATTTTGTGTACTGAATTTACACTGGAACAAGCCAGCAGCCGTTACAAGAATAGCACAGCTAAATCCCAGTGCTTGTGTAGCTGTGATACGTACCACTTGACAGCTATACCACATATTGCAAAAGCCAGGAAAGTTAAATTCTTCCTTCAGTGTTTAACACATCTATCATTTGTAGTATCTGCATGAAGGTACTGAGCATTAATATGATCACTGCAGACCCGAAGAGTTGAATTTCTGTTAACTTTGAACTTCCATTGTTAGAAGTAAAAATGCTTGAACAGTCAAGGGTCTCTTCTGAGGCTACAGTTAGCCAGTGGACACTCAGTTTTCTCCCCCTGGAGGTGAGGATTTCACCCCCACATAGATCACAAAGAAAGATGATTTGGGACCTCACTGATGAACAGGTTGTGATCAAGAAGGCACAAAACTGAAAAAGATGTGTTGCAGTGCAGGTGAGTGTGGGCAGCACACTGACAGGCTTCTGTCAGATACTTCTCTTTCCCAGTCTGTCCCTGTAAGAGTATAAAGTTCAAATACAAACAAAAGTAATTCTTCTGCATATCTATGCAGTACTTGCTTATAGAAAATTTCAGTGATAACTGGAATTTCAGCTCTAAAAGCTTTTAGGAAACACATTTTATCCCTACAGTTAGCCAGACTGTTTCAGTAGAGATCCTCTTTTGAGCAGAGGCTTTTTTATCGCTTCTAAAATACATGGCACTGACATTAAAAAGATGTGGGTTTTCTACTGCACTTAGATTCTGTTATAAAGCAGCATAACAAAGGTAATATGTCTTACTCAATTGTCATGCAGTAATACCTTACTAATTTAATTTCACAGTGGTTTACCAGATCATTTTATGTATTTGGCACGATGTGAGGATCATAAATCTTGTAAGAACAGTTATTTCTTCTTGTGTTCATAAACACAGCTCACTTCATGAGTCTGTTTGGTGCTCCTTGCGTTTTTCCACCTGACTTTCACAGTGTGCCTTTACAGCAAATAGTGAAGGTATTTGTGTAGACATAACTTTGCCAGTTTTACCTCAGTGAGGATAGATGACAACTGATGTTAGTGCAGATTAACAACCAGACCCCTACCTGAGCTGCTCAGCAAGTGATGCAATTATTTCAAAACTGTCTTGTCACATTTCTGTTGTTAAGGATGAGTGGAGTGGCCATCTCCACTCAAACTGTGTCACACCTTCATTTTGTTGTGTAAACACAGAGAGTGAGATACAGAGCTTTTTCTTGCCTTAGTTACACTTCTGTGCAACACTTGCCCTCTCTTGGGCAAACATCTGCCTCAGTGATTACACTGAGAGTGAAAAAAACCCATTCTTTTATTAGCCAGTTCTGTCTCAGGCTGTTCAGTTTATGACAGATCAAATAAAAGGTGAACTTTTTCACTGGAACTGACATCCACATGTGTGTCCGTGTAGGATTGCTCTGTGATAGACGGTTCATCAGCGTGGATGAGAGGGACACGGAATTTGAGCAAGTGGTTCAGACTGGTGTGACATTTTTATGTCTGGTATCAGGCACTGGTAGAGGGTGATGTGCAAACCCATGTAAAAAAGTCAGTCACTGACCAATGGGATGAGAGTTTGCAACAATAAGGCACCAAAAAGGAGTGAATACTTTTCTCCCTTGTCTTTCTGTGCTGGCTTGTGTATTTCTGCAGCTGGGCCATGTTACTTTAATGACAGCAAAGTAAAGGGAGTTACATTTTGGTAAGTCTGCCTATGGCCATCCTGTTATACTTCCTATAGATCAGAAATAGGAACAGAAATGCCACGTTTCCAATATTCAGAAGTAAGTCCAGCCATTCAGCTAGGCATGTGAAAAGGATTGCATAGTATTTCAGAAAAAAGAGAAAAGCTGGCCACCCGTATATCAGGGAGTGAACCTGCTGGCTCCTTTTCTAAAGTTCTTGCTTTTCACTTCATGCAGTGTCATAGAAGCTCAGAGTGAGTCATGGGGCCTACTAGAAAAGCATCCTTTTATAATGTTATGTTGTAGGCAAACACCTGTTGCAGCCTTAAAACTGTGAGACTCAGATATTTAAGATGAACATTTCCTGTGTAATAATTGTTAGAATAATTCTCTGTTACATATAAACATGTCAATCTATAAAATTAGAACTATATTTTAAAGCAGTTAAATATTTTAATATTTTAAGAATATATTTTAAAGCACTGAAAAGCAGTTTAAATATACCATATTTTTATGAACTTCTACTTTATATTCGGTGTTCTGACTGTTATATGGATGTGTATTTATTTGTGTTAGTATTTTCTGAAAACCAAAACCCAGGAGGGTAAAAATACTTCTAGAATTTAGGTTCCAAGCCACGTGTTTAAAAAAAGTAAAGATTTCTTTTACTAGCTTTGAGTTATGCAGACATAGTTTAGTATTTTTTTAATGGTTTAGGTACTGGAGAACTTAATTCTTGTAACTGTTTTGTTACATTTTTAAAGCATAGGGAAATTTCGTTTACTGACAGAGGGAAATTTTGTTTACTTATATGGTCATTTTATGCATTTCTGTGTTTTATACTACACACTTACAAGTAAAAGAAAGAAGACACCTTTTTGTCCTGCAGGAGATGTTGGTTTATAGGCATCTTAGTCTTTGCATCATTCTGTCTGCTTCAAGTGTGATAAGTAAAAGCTACTGTCTATTTATAGATGAGTGAAGCAGGAATGTGTTGGCACGAGGTGATGCAGAGCTTCACCTAATGCCCAGTTGAAAATGTCTGCTGATGGCCCATCAGTGGAAATAATGACACATTTTTACCTTAAACTGGATTATTTGGTCTTACAGATCTATTTTAATGGAGAATTGATGGCCTTGTCAGCTACTACTGTTACTGTGTATGCATCGGCCACAGTACTGAATGTCTGTGGGAACAAGTAAAGGGAATTTGTTGAAAAAAACAGCTTGCTTTTAATGTGCAGTAAGGAATACTCTTTAATATATTATTTCTTGAGATGATCATGGATTTATTTCCTTTCTTTTCATATTTAAGGATATTTTTCTTTAGCATATAAAGACCTGTTCTTGCAAACTGCTGAATGGCTTATAGGAATGCTATAACTTCTATCTCCAAATAAAGTGAATGAGATTTTTATATTAGTATTTGGTGAATGTGAAGAAGTTCTTTCCTTTTTATCATGAGATTCTTTCAAATAAGCCACCATGCTACATAATGTAAAAATGTGAAGATTATGTAGAATACAGGGTATTCATCACAGACTGAACTTCAGGAAAATAGCTTGCATTCTCAGTGATTGCTTTTCTGGCTCATTCATTGTTTTCTTTCTCCTCTTCCACAGCCGGAGGGAGCAGCCATACAGCAGAAGCAGCATCAGTAGTTTCATAGCTTTTTAAACGAACAAGTCATAGCCTGCAGTAAAACACATAATTTGCAGTGTTTTGTGGGAATTTGTTTATCATCTAGCACTTCAGTAGTTGATCTTAATCATGGCTATTTTTGTGTGCTTTGATATAGGTAGATATTAGATAGAATTCAGGGGGAAATGAAGACTTCTAAATTTAGGTGTCTTATGTCGGCTTTTAAAAGTAGGTGGGTTATGTCTCTAAACTCCCATTCTAATCAACAGAGATGGAGTCACACTTAACCAATGGGGTCCAGAGAGCAATTCAGGTCACCATCTGTGAGTGTCTACCTTAAGACAAGCAGAATTAGTCCAGAAGCTTGAATGTTCTCATTAGGGGCTTACTTCAGTTACCCAAACACAGGTATCTCATGCCATTTTTGATAACCTAATGTATTTCACCTTGCCTCCAGATGCTGCTTTAGAAAAATAAAGTTCTTCCACAGATCTTGTATCACATCTTCCAGTCCTGTCCAGGTGTCTTTGGAATATCCTAGAAGGTACTAGATGCACATTTATGCAGCTGAATTGAAACAGTGATCTCTATTGACTAGAATGGAAGCCTAGACACAAATAATTTCCATCTTCCTGTAAGTGCATATAGCCAAAGATGGTTGCCTTAAGTGCTGATTTCCAAGAGGTACTAAGTACTCTCAGAATGCAGAGCAGCTGTAGAGTAAATTTGTAAATATGTATGTAAATATTTTAAAAATATATGTATTTCTTTTAAAAGATTTGAAAGATACTTGAGTCTAATGCTGTTGCAGATTATCAATTGCAGTGCTGAGAGGTGGGCCACTTCCAGGAGTCTACAGGCTGCGTCAGCTTCACTTTCATTGGGGTTCGTCTGATGACCATGGCTCTGAGCATGTTGTGAATGGAGTGAGATATGCAGGAGAGGTATGACTCACCACTTTTTACTTTAAAATAAAGTGTCAAATAACATTTGTCATTATTGTTCAGGTGAGACAAAATTTGTCATTTGTCAGCTTTTCAAGGAGTTCTTTCTAATTGTTTGTCTGTGACATTCTTAGTCCCACTGATTCTTATAAACATGAATCAGGTTGAAGTAATTTTCACAGCATAAGAAAATAAAAATTTTACATGAAACAATAGTTTCCACATTCTTAAACCAACATGGCTTGAAACACAGGACAGCAACATTGAATTACTGAGAAGCAAAGCAAACTTACTAAAACAATATTCTGAAAGTATAGTATTATAGCAGAGCTAGAGAATTGTAGTGACAGAAAGGAGGAAGAATGTGTGACTTTGGTTTTCTACCACTTTAGAATTGTAAGGGAAGTTGAGAACTGTAGGCTAATAATATACAGAGCTTACATTCTGATAGATTCTTTGCTAGAATTGCTGTAATTTCAAAGCCAAATAGAAATGAATCACTTATCAGTAGATGACTTCTGAACTGCATGTTCTACCTGCTTACTTCAGCATCTTTTCTGTCTTCTTCAGCTTTAAGATGAGATTTTTTGAAATTTCTCTATTAAGTTGTTTATAGTTTATTTTAAAGAAAATAGTAGTCTAAATGGTAATGCATTTTTTTTTTTTTTTTTTTGAAGACCTAATCCTCTTCTTTGTTGCCCCAAACTCTCTCATGTATTGAAGAACTCTAAATTCAGCCTTTGATGGCTTGCTATTCAACAGTGGATTTTTTTACATGTTTTTCTTTGTTTCCAGCTACATTTGTTACACTGGAATCCCAAATACAGTAATTACCTTGATGCTGTGAGAAGAGCTGATGGAATAGCTGTTTTGGCAATATTTTTGCAAGTAAGTAGAAGCATGCAACACTTCTTTGCACAGCTACTATAGAGGCTTCCATTCTTACAGGGTTAAAAAACCAAAACCCTCTGAATATGTATATTCTAGGGATTGTACCATATTGAAGGGCTTGACTTTCAGTAATGCATACTTTTCAAGTTATAGAGCATAAGTCATGTTAATTCAGATGGTATCTAATACTACACACACTTGTCCCAGCAACTATTGTGTCACTATGTGACTGGTGGAAGCTGTAAACTCAGATGTATTCACCCCTGCTTTGGGGACACGATGTCAGTAGTGGCCCTCTGACCAATACTGGTCAGCTGTCTTTTGTGCTAATCATGGACTGATTTCAGGGACAGATACCACCCCTAGGCTTTTCATGAACTTTCTCCCAGGCAAAACTAATGTGCCATCGATACACATAGATCATTCTTTCTTAAAATCCTTTTGGAGGCATGCAGTCTTAGCCTAAAATAATTGGCTTTTGCTCTCACTTGTTCAATTAATATTCACTAGAGATAGAAAGATGGACGTCTGTGTTGAAATCAACAATTGCAAACAGTAGATCCGACCATGAAATATGTTTTTTAAAGTAGAATGAAACTTTTTCCAAATTTTTTACTTGAATCTGAAGAATTCTTTATCTTTGTTAGGCTAAAATTCAATGTCAACAGGAATAGCTGTGTTGTCAAATTACCTGTGATGCTGAGTTTCTGTACTGATGTAATTTCATCTTGTGGATCATAATATCTGTTGGGGTACAGACAGAGGGTACAGACAGAAGACATAGCTTACTAAACTGGTAGTGGTGATAGGTTCAGTTACTGCATTGTAATTTTACAGTGTTATATGTTTAGATGCACATATTAAAAAAATAGGATGAAGAAGAAAACTGATATAGCACAACTCTTTGATTAACTTATGCTTTCTTCTTTACAGGTAGGGAAAACTCCCAAACCAGAGATGAAGAGAATTCTTGAAGAAATAAATGCTATCAAAACAAAGGTAACGATGTTGGGCTTTTCATTATAGGAAGATTGCTGCAAATTCTCAGGACAAAAAGAAATAAATCAAGAGGCATGACTTTCTAGTTTTCAAATTCTACTCTGCAACATTGCCAGACTATACGTGTGAATAAAACCATGGGTAGCTTTTTCTTAACAAGAAAAGTCCTTTCTTCTATTTACATATGAGCCTTGTTTGGCTTTAGTAGGCCTTACAATTTTGTGAAAATAAGTCATCTCTCCAAACTTTACTCACCTAAAATCTAGGCATGGAGTCTTATTCTCTCAGTGGTCAGTGACAAAAGAAAGGCACTTTTGGAAGGTGGTTCATTTGGTCTTGAAATAGGCTGACTAATGAACCTCTGGAAATGCCACTGACTAGACATCTGTGTCTCAGATAATATTATGTGATAAGAATTTCACATTGCATAGGCAAGACAGTTTGTTATTAGCACAAATACTATAAATCTAGAGTACCTGTCTCACTTCATTATATGGTGACTTAACCCAATATTTAATAGATAGGCAGAATTTCCATAAGAAAGGAAGTCATAAGGAAGATTACAGAATGCACAGAAATGAGTGAAGCACATTGGTACTGGACGTGGCTTCACATGAGTTAGTTCAAGTACAAGAAGTAGCATCATGGAGTTGTATGTTGTGTCACGCTTTTCTGGGCCCATCTGTGAGGGTCATACAGTCCACTTAACCTTTACAATGCATCATTATGTCTTGTGTAGATGTGTGCTTAGTTTTCTTAGTTCATACCTTTGAAGTATCTGAGTCACTCTGTTTCTTAAAATACAAGAACTGTGTCTTTACCTAATCTTGACTAGAGCTGTTGAAGAGTTTTCTGTTTGGTTTTGTTGTGGTTTTTTTAAAGGGGAAAGAAGCTCCTTTTACAAACTTCGATCCTTCAATTCTTTTCCCTAAATCTCATGACTATTGGACATACCATGGGTCTTTCACTACTCCACCTTGTGAAGAGTGCATCACCTGGATTGTGCTTAGAGAGCCTATCATAGTCAGCTCAGACCAGGTAAACTTCACATCATAGATAATATTTTACCCACTTCTTTTTAGTTACATGCCATAACCTGACCTTATTCTTTTGTCAAGGAAAATACTTATTGGATTCTGTGAGAAATTACATGATTAAAAGGACAGTGAATAACTGAATGCCTTAAACTACCTTCGAATTTCATAGGGAACCTGTAAAAATCTTCAACGGACTGCAGTCTGCAATCTAGTATGTGCAATCAACCTGTTAGACATACCTCTTTGTCTGTATGACTCCTACCTACATTAACCTTCTCTACTTGAAATAGTTCATTGTTTCCTAGCCCATGTCAGACATCATGATATCATGATCATTCAAATCCACAGACATCAGAGAGCTTTATAAATCAGTAAAATCATAACACAGTGTAGATGGTAAGAGTTTATACCAGTTTGGAGTGTGACTGACAGCAGTAGTTACTGTGTATGAGAGTTCTTGCTCCCATGGGCAAGACACCTCTTCTGACATCAGCTAAAGAAAAGACGCGATCTCTTTGTTTCCCAGTCCTTCTGTTCTCATGATATTAACTCTTGCTAGCAGGAAAGGATGGAGCTGGATGTGGCTCATACCTTTTATTTTACACAGAGCTCAAAACACTACGTTACACCAAGAGCCAATGTAGGAAATCTCAAGCCATTAACCTGTATTATCCTGCAACTATTTAAAAAAGAACATTGACACATTTAGCTAAAGCTTATGTTAGGTTTGCACCAACAACTTTGATTACACAGGATTTTTTCAATCATTTGTATTGTCTTAAGCTTCCTCACGTGAAGTTTTCATTGCTTATGATGAATGTTTGAGGGTAATCACTGGACAAATTATGAAATAAAGCTGCTGTAAAATGCAGTGAGATAGTCAGGTAACCTAATTACATTGCACACTGAATGAAGCAGCAGTCCAGTGTTCTCACCTAATGCAGCTGAGCATTTCCAACTTTTCAAACATTCTCCTTTGCAAATGTGTCTCATAGCATGCTGCTTTCAAAAACATCTCTTATCAGAATACAAATTTAATAGTATTGGTGATTCTATCTGCTCCATATTCTAAATGGCATCACATAACTGAGAAAATTAGGCAAGTGTTGTATCAGGTGCTTGATACCTATAACTCTAGAAGGTATACCAGCTGTTTTTGCAAATGGGAGCAGCATCAGATACCTATAATTTCTTGTTAATCTGAAAGCGTTCTCTGGTCACTTAGTGTAAAGAAGTATTTCTTGTTAGTCCTCATTTCTCCTCAGTCCCGTTTATAGAAATTTGAATGCCCTCTTCCATCACATTTCAGCCTATGATTCTACTTGTACCACATAAATCAGTTTTCTCATCTGAGATTATTCCTCTACTCAGCAGACTATAATGATATGATATCATAAATTTCAAGACTTCAGGATAGTGAAAACATGAATATTAATCAAGTGACTGACTTGCTATGTAGATATTATATATAGACACATAACTTTTCATTTTACGTTCCAAGGTGATGAAAATGTATTTTGTTACATTGATTGATGTGCATGTATCACAACAAAAATCTATTTTCTAGTACTTTGTATTTATGTGGTTCTTTATCTTTCAAAGAAAAGAACTCAGGTATGATGGGAACCTTAGCTGGCAAAAGATGAAATATGGTAATGTATTCATATAACTTACATCTTAATTTTTCACAGTTTATTGACTGATCTGTCTCCTGTTTCCTTGCCCATCTGAAAACTAAAATACGTGGGCTATTTTGAAGCTGGTACATGTGTGAAAAATACAAATATGGTCTGACTGGCTTCCACAAAATAAATCTGCTTAGAGGTTTATATTACAAAAGACCAACTATGAATTTTTTGGGGAAAAGTGTAGTCATTCCTGAGCATCTCTGATTTAAAATGTGTTTTTAAAAGAATAACTAATCACATCATTGATCTACCCTCATGAAAAGACTTTTTGATCACTGCTGTATTTGGGTGATGGCCTTCTTTTCAGTTTATCTGAAGTTAGTCTGTTTTGGGAAACAGACTGTTCTCTAACTGGCCCTACTGTGGAAAATATGAAGTATTTAAGGTAAAAAGGAAATTACTAAAAATAGATGGGACATTGGCTCTTACTCTGCTTTTCAGGCAGAATTGGCAGTGTATGTGAGGTACTGTATACAAATACAATAGAAAAACTTTCCTCACTCCAGAGTGGCTGCAGTCTAAATAATGTATTCATGAAAGAGGATTGTGTTACCAATTATTTTTAATCCTAGAAAGCGTACTGCCATGGCAGCCACATTAATAGTAATTATTTTAAGTGTGTGTGCGTTTACAGTGGATCACTAGGATGCTTTTAAAGCCAGATGGTAATAGTATATTAGCCACAAGGACAAGTGCAGTCACTGTGAATCAGTACTCTGCAGGAAAAATCAATTCATCAGAAATCCCTGTGAGATGTAGAGTGGGTGGCCTAGCTGCTCAGATTACTTTTAATGAAAGGATAGGAATTTAACTGGGGAATAACTATCCAATTGCAGTCTATTTTTTTTCACCTTTATGTAGCTATAGCCTGAATATATGCTTTTTTCTTTTTTACTGAGTAGGGAAAATCTTCCACAAAGAATAATAAAACACAGCAATCTCTTTTCCAATAGTACTTTATCAGTATTAACAAAACTGATGAATGATTTTCATCTCCTACTGTTCCCATGCAAATTATTCTTCATCTGAAATAAAGAATTAAATTTCAGATTTCAGATGAATAATCCAGTTGCTGCATATTATACGAGTTATAACTGTGGACTCATCATTGTTCAGGCAAACTGAGATAGCTGGCTTTTCTGAGCTGTGTAGTGAAGAGCAATGTTAAGATGCCTGAGCTAGCTCAGTCCATAAACTGGAATCAGTATAGTTACAGTGAACAGCTTTTACAGCCCAGATAGAAGTTCTACTTCCATTGGACTTGTACTCTGTACTGTAAAAGATAGATACATGAGCGTATTGAAGCTAGTTGCAAACAAAGTTGATGTATGGTGTGAATGGGGCTACATTTTCAAGTGTACGCATGAGGAAATGTATGCATCCTTTTCACAGTAAGCCATTCAAACAAGGTAGTGTCAAGTGTTTGAACCACAGCTAATACACTTTCTGTCTAATGTTGTGCGTGACAGTGACAACAAACAAACATAATGTATCTGTAAGTGGGTATATGTGTTGCATCCTTTAAAAATCAGAAAGCAATAAAGGAGGAGATTATACAGTTTTGAAGAGTATGGGCAGAACTTTTAGAATCATAGAATCATAGAATCTTTCAGGTTGGAAAAGACCCTTGGAATCATCCAGTCCAACCATCAGCCCCACTCTACAGAGTTCTCCCCTACACCATATCCCCCAACATCTCATCTAAACGACCCTTAAACACATCCAGGGATGGTGACTCCACCTATTCCACTGTCTGACCACTTTTTCTGTGAAAAATTTTTTCCTAATGTCCAGGCTGAACCTCCCCTGTTGCAGTTTAAAGCCGTTCTCCCTTGTTCTGTCACTAATTACCTGTGAGAAGAGACCAGCACCAACCTCTCTACAATGTCCTTTCAGGCAGCTGTAGAGAGTGATGAGGTCTCCCCTTAGCTTTCTCTTCCTCAAACTGAACAGTCCCAGCTCCTTCAATCACTCCTCAGAGGATCTGTTCTCCAGGCCCTTCACCAGCTTCGTTGCCCTCTGCACGCGCTCCAGCACCTCGATATCTCTCTCGTATTGAGGTGCCCAAAACTGGACACAGTACTCCAGGTGTGGCCTCACCAGTGCAGAGTACAGGGGGACTATCACCTCCCTATTTCTGCTGGTCAAACTATTTACTAATACAAGCCAGGATGCCGTTGGCTTTCTCTCTTCTTATGGCATTCCTCAAAAAAAACATACCTCAGTTAAAAAAAAAATGGCCAAGGAGAGTCAAGCTGCAGACCCTGTGTACAAACCATTTGAAACCCTGACCAAGTCATTAACCAGGTTTACATTCCTGTTATTGGTAATGGACTTTTTTGTGTCACTGCAGCAGAATATATCCTTTGCTACAGACCCACCATGGAAATGAACAATTAGTTTATAATTTAGCTTTAACAGCTTTCAATTCCAGAGGCTTCTTAACAATTAAACACAAAGGCAGGGTTTAAGTAGGAGAAGTTTATTAGGGCATAGACTGTTCTATTCACATTTTCTGAGGACTTCCCACAGTTTCTGTGACTATACTACACAGTTCTGTAGACAGTACATAAATGAGAGTACTTTTCACAATCTGTTCAGATAGGACCAATTTTTTCTGTCTTGACTATTTCTAAGAATATTAAACTGCTAGGAAAGAAACATGAGTACTGTTCTTGTGGTGATGGGATGAAGGACATGTTTACAGCTTTGAAGGACACTTTCTCCCCAGCTTCAAGGCATAGGCCAGCCTCCTTGGTTTAATTGTTGGGCTGTGGATTTGATCACAAGGTACTTTCATCAGGACACTTCGATTTTTGCTCTCCTGTAGATGGCGAAGCTCCGCAGCCTGTCCAAGAATGCTGAGAATGAACCTAATCTCCCTCTGGTTGATAACTGGCGCCCAACTCAGCCTCGGTATTTCAGGATGGTGAGCGCATCATTCCTCTAGGACCTGTCTGAGGTTGGCTATCCCTGAATGAGGCAACCTCTAGAACTAATTGATGCTTTTGATTTGTGTCCTCTCTTGTATTTAGACAGAACTCCAGCTGTAGGTCCAGAGGCTGAAACTTTGAGTCATGAAATGTGAATTTCACTTTCAGAGGATAACATTTACTTAGGCAAATCCTAGCATTAAAATGGAAGTAGACAATCTGTTTGGCTCTTCATAACTGCTTTAACATTAGCTTTTGTTAATAGTAAGAAGGAAGAAAGAAGATGCTACTAACAGCTACAAAACCATTTCCTGTTGCCCACGTGCCCCTTTGATGCTTGCCTTATTCCTGTTAAAAAGGTTGCAGTTAAGAGAAGTAATTGTTTTCAGCATAAAAACTTATGTTTCAGTAGTTGTTTTCAGCATTATCTGTATCCTGCTCTGAGCTGCACCAGTTAATGCACAAGGCATTCTTGGAAAAAAAGGAGAGCCCTCATTGGTATTTGATACATAAAATATGAAAGGATAGAAAATTGCTTCATAACCATTGATAAAGAACTAAGCTTTTAACTTCTGTTCTGAAAATTGTATTTATGGAGTTATATGTAGTTTAAACTGTGGAATGGGGGAAGAGCTGTTTCTGTTTGTGTCACAACTGATTGTCCATGTTAAAAGACTAATTGCATTTTAAAGTTGTAGCAATCAAAGTGACATGAATTTTGAGAACTTGGTCTTTGTATCCTGAATATGTATTTTCTCCATGTATGCAAGTGCTTTTCTGTGTAAAAAGGGTGTTAAGATAGCAAGAGTTCTTAATCTTCTCAGTGTTTTTTTTGAGGCAGATTTGCACTTCATGTGCAAATGTAATTGATCCTGCTGTCAATGAGATTTGTGCATAAATATCTGAAACCACAGTTTGACTCTCCTGATCAAAATGCAGTTGACCAGGGTGTTCTTGTCTCTTGTTTTGGCATAAAGAACAATTAAATAGGATTGTAAGCCTATACTTGAAATAACAGTATTTCTGCATTAAGAAATCCAACAATAATAAATATATTTACTTAAGAGGTTTTGTTCTGTATGGGTTTTTTTTTCCAGTTTTAGAAACATGCAAAAATAACAGAATTTTAAAGAAAAACTTGTCAATGTGCTCTGTAATACACCTTCATGGAAATTGGCAATGGATGGTATCTTTTCCGGATGTTTGTTTGAACTACTAGAGTACTGATAATATTTCATGTGACTGCAAGCAAGGAAATAGCATTTAAAATACGCTACATCGAGACATCCACATCTATTCTTTTAATGAGATCACCCTATTCTGATGGCTTTCTTGTAATGTCAAATGAATCAACTCCTTCACAAGTTGATTGCACAGTGGTAAAGTTCAGTCAGTATCTGAAACCATTAATCTGGTAATTTACATTGAGCTCTGGAAATATAAAGCAGCTGCTGCTCTGGCAGTGGCTGGACTCTTAGCTGCCATGTTTTAGGACAGGAGGATGTTGCTGAGCTTGGTGATGAGACAGTGGTTATGCTCCCTGTCTTCAGTTCCCCACTGTGAAATGTTCTGGACCATATCCTCATATTGCTTTCTTCCTTCAAATAGGTAGTGTTTTGGCTGGGAAATTTCATTTAGTCATTGTTAGCATTTCCCAGTTAATTTCCCATTTCCTAATGGATCGCACTGTGCTGTTGGTGTTTGCACTTTTCATTTGTAGCCACATTGTGAAATGATTCAGATGAGTTAACATCTGTTTACGTTGCATGCCCTGACTTTGACACAGGTTGTCTTACATGTACATGCTTCCACTTACTCGGATGACTTACATCAAGAAAGCCTGTGCAGGTCCCTATGTTTGAAAACTTTTTTTTTTTTTTCCAGATACTTGATTAAATATAATTTCTCAGCTGGGTCATTCCAGGACAGTTCAAAGCATATCTTTGTGTTTGACCACTGGTATCCAACACAGTTTCAGCTGTAGGCGTAAAAACATGTTGCTGGATTGTACTTTACGCTTCAGAGAAAGGTTTACTCCATAAAGATTTATTTTTTTTTTCTAATAAACTAAACATCTAAACCAACATCAGGAAGTATTCTGTATCTGTTATTCTGAACAGGAATGCAAGTCACAGATTATCATTGACTATGCAGGACAGGGTTCTGATAGAATACCCAGTGCTTCCTTCCTTCAGGTGAAAATGGAAATTTCCTGTGAAAATATAAGAAAACCATACTGTAAATACCTTTCTACTTTCTGCTTGTTTTTCTCCAGTCAATTCTGCAGTATATATCTGCTTGCGTATAAGTTAGTTCATTAGAAAAAAGAATTTTGAAGCAAAAATTATTTTCCAAAATGCATAATTTGCTGTGAATTACAATAAAAGTTATTTTCTAATGTACTTTATTTAAGTAAGTTGCATGTCTTAGAGCTTAGAGCAGGCTTTATCTTTCTTGCAATTTATGGTATTGCAAATGTGGAACATGTATTCTCAGAGGTTTTTTAATGATATAGTGGTTTCCCAGTCACTTTGCAAAGGAGCCGTGTGGGTTCTATAAATGAAGCTGAGGTAAGCCTCATCCTTTAGAGCTGTGTTTCGTAACTTTTAATCTTGAAGTAATGTCTCTAAAGAAAGTGTTATTTGACTTTTTCATGCTGTTGGTTTCATAAAATCTGTATAATTAGTAAAAGGTATACTAAATTACGTCAGGACTGTGTTGACTCAGTTGCAGATGGGAGGAAGTGTATGAATATGGGGTTTGGCGGTTGTTTTACAGACCCCCTTCCAATGTTTAAGGGACTCTCTGAAGTAATGATGACAGATCGAGAAAACAATGGTTCAGCAGGCTTTGGAAGAAAATGGAAGGTGTAGGAGTAGAAGAAAAACAAAAAGCCCAAGAATGGGAGTGGGACTTCAGGGGCACTGTAAATTGAGCTGTAAACTGAAAGTGTGAGATTAGAGAGAGTTTTGAAAGCCAGGGAGGAAATGTGGGGTGCTGTGAGTCAGCGTTTAGAATGTTTTCATGTCTGATACAATTTTTTCTCTGGCTGTGTTCATTATTATTTTACAGAGGTTCCCCCTTGCTTTTAGCTAGCAGTTTTCTGTAAGTACAAGAAAAATTAATCACTGGTATGACTGAATTCAGGTCGCCGCAGGTCACTGTAGTAATTACATCCCACACATCTCACTTCTACCTGCAGATTTCCACTGTGCCATGTAGTTCTATTAACAGCAAGAACAGGGAGCCCTGGGTTCACAAGGTTCATATGGTGAAAAGGGAAGACATCAAATTTTCATCTGGGTGGGGTAGAAAACAATAAGTTACTACTGTATTTGACTTTACGATTCATGTATGCCTGACAGTACTTTGTGATATCAGTGCTAATTAGGAGCAGTCCCTCTGAAACAGAAATGGCAGACGTGAGACATGCAGCCACGTTGCACCGCTCATTGACCACTCTCTTCTCCAAGTTACTTTTCATCTGCTGCAGATGTCAAAAATAATTTGACCTGGCCTAGCTCTGTGGTGCTGTGAGTTTTCGAGAAACTTGACACAATTTAAAGGGATGGTTGTACCTGTGTCCACGTCACTGGCAGTACTGAACATGAGTAAGAAGGTGCGTGTGGAATGACATCACAGATGCAAGAGACATGATTATGCTCATCAACAGTGAAGATGCATTACCATTGATTTTAGGTAAGATCTACCTGTGAACTTGGTCAGACTAAAAGATATCCCTGGTAAACATGTGGGAAGCCCATTTTCTCATGTTGCTTGTTGGGAACCTTTCCTTCAGCCCCAACGTCGTGCTGATTGGAGAAGCTATCCTTAGGTTACCTGTGTGCAGGAGGGCAGGAAACAATCAACTAGGAGTCTCACTTTGCGGATGTCCCTGGGGCATGCAAGAAGAGGTAGATGTAGATATTGATCTAAAATTTTATATTAAAATAGGCATGGATTTTATGGGGAAGAAGAGTCAAAATCATTCAGATCATGGATATTTCTGAAAAGTTAAGACTCATCAAATCTGCTTTAGATCAGGACTACATTTGATCAAATGTGACATTCTATATCCAGATTTATGCCTCAGAAATTTCATTACAGTCATCTATATAAAAATGGACAGAACTTTAGACCCCTTCTTTTATATTGTATAAGACAGTATTTTGCTAACTATGTGCATGACTGTTAAGACCATGAAAGGTATCATTAATTATTTTGCCCAAGTTTCAGATTTAATTGAAAAAAGAAAAAAAGTTCAAATTTCTCCTCACGATGAAGGAATTTTTATTTAAACAAATACAGTTATACAGTAATGTCTGAAGAAATGCTGCAAAATATAGCTTGCTGACTTCACTTCCCAAATTCTGATTTTTGTGCTGTTTTGCTGAAAGAAAAAGGAGGTTTTCTATGACATTGTTTCATCAAAAAAACATAGTCCTTATGGCTAGGATCAGGCTGACGTGCTTTTTTCTGCTTGTTGTAATAAACCATCTAGCGGGGAATATTTGAGGTCACAAGAAACGATTGGCACAGACGTTCTGTCCTGTCCTCCAGCCATGCAGCAAGCAGTGGTGCCTCACCAGGGCTGAACTCTCCAGTCTGTCAGCTGGGGAAGGCCACCCCTCCAGAAGGACACACAGCTGATCCCTAGCCATGGTCATCAGAGGATGCATCATGCCTCTAACAGAACATGCTGAAATCTGGCTTGTTTTGGGTGATGTTCCACTCCCTTGCCTCAAAGCCTTTTTCTCCTTGAATAGACCTGTGCCTCTGTGGTTTTATACCTTACTGTCTGTTTATATGTCTATATGTCTATATGTATATATGTGTGTGTATCAATATGCACAGAAAACATACACTTGCTATGTATATGCACATTCTGTTACTGTTTTTTTGTTCACGTGGGATAGCATTTTGTCTGACACTACAACTAATTTCAGACTCATTGGAGAAAAAGCATCATTCTAGTGAAGTTACCCTTACTTTTACCAAACCTGTCTCTGGTTGGCTACCTGCCACACCTGACTGTCTTCCAGAATAAAGTACCTGAGGAAACAGCTCCCTTTTCCTCCTTTGCCAAGAACAAAATAAACTCATCAGCTTGTAGCAGCTTTGCTTCTTTCGGAGATCACTGGGGCTGTTAATTACCTTTTCCACTCTCCAGCCTACAAACTGCAGTGTTAACTTTAAAGGAGCTAAAGATGATGTCTGATCAGGGTAAAGAGAGAGAAGTAGATCCTGCTGCTTATTCAAGGAGAACGTTCGTCCTGTTCAGTAGATGCTTAATATAGACCTGAATTCTTAACTTACTCCAGTGGGAAAAGGTGTATGTAGATGGTGTGGGGTGTACTGGGTTTACTTAATGCCAGTGTACTTGTAATACTCTTCAGTAGTGGGGCTGAGTACTGTCTAGAGTTTGTGATTCTCTGCATAAAGAAGACGCAGAGAATAGCAACAGAGACCTGTGGAAACATGTCAGTGAGTCTTGGCTGGAAACACTCGGAAAGCTCTACCCCCAGGATTTTCTGCATTGGACAGTAGTCCAAGGATTGTGGCGTATGGCAGGGAAGTCTTGCAATTATTGCAGTTCACAGTGAATGGTCAGATCACTTTTGTGTCTTTCCAAAAATAAGAATGCATTTACTTTCAAAATGGTGATCAGAATGCTGAAGGAACATACACTATCAGTGTGGATACATCCAGTAAAGTAGGATATGGACTAGAAAGCAGACAAAAAGTTTTTTGGGAAAGTTTTGTTGATTTTCTGGTTACCAACAACCTGTGAAATTGTTCTACTTGAGAGAAGGGGCAGACATGTTTTGCCCTAGGAACCATGGTATACACATAATACTGGAGAATAAGAGGAGAATGGATATATCATTCTCAGCAGAGCCTTCTGTTTTAATTCTTTTCACAGACTAGGTTTTAGATTATCTAGCAGCACTTACATTAAGTGTTGAACCTTAGCATGGAGATCACACTTGAATTTATGAAAAAACAAATGCTCCTCAACAGCCTGTGAACTATCACTGATACAAAGTCCCGGTGTTTTCATCAATGGCTTTAAGTTAATCATTCAGTTTCAGGAAGGGATTAAGCTCTCTTCGCCCTCCTTCATACCATAAACTCAAACCACAAGTTTGGAAGAGCATTTAACTCTGTTTCACAGTAAGTATTGTACTTATGAATCAGAAATCTGACTTAGACTTTAAAACTTTAAAAGGACAGCTTTTGGCCTCTGACTGAAGAACAGCTCTGATCATGCATGCCTGAACACAGGATGATAAGAGTTTTTTCCCCAAGGTGAAAATTCATGCAACAGCTAAGCACAGAAGTGGCCTTGCAACAAATGGTACATAGCCCAAAACAAAATTAAAACTTGTTTCCTCCTTGGTCCAAGATGTGATTCTCAAAGGCTGTCCAGCTAATTTACATAAACTCTCAAACAGGGTATGAGCAGCTGCAGACAGCATCCAGTGTGGTCCAGTCTGATAGCAAAGGAAAGCACATGGTTATGGCCCCAAAACCAATGCTGTATTCGGACAGACTTTCTATCCATCCTATCAGTAGCAGGAGTGCTATTCCAGATAAACATTCATGACATCTATAACTAACAGGGTGTGGACTGAAATATTAGTCTTTGTTAATTGAAGAGACAGTTGTATAACTTAATGATATTGTAATTGCTGAGAACACTGTATGGGAGAAAGGGGGACTAGGCTGTCAGCCCACCTAATCAGAGAGACCTTTATGATTTAGTAAGTTTTTTGTTTTTGCCATCAACTTTGCTGTTGTGAAGTGTTGCTGCTGGCTTTTAGATAATGGTCTGCAGGGTTTTCTGATAAAATAGGTAAAGATTATTCCTTTTATTTCTTTGTTTTAGTAAAAGCTGCTAAAAACAATTCATTTTTAAGAGAAACAGGGAGGATTAAAATAGTTCCCCTTAGAGCACTTAATAATCACAGCTTCAGAAGCATTGACAAAAGCCCTGAATGTCAGGGAGTAAGACCGTTTTGCACATCTAATATGCTGTTGTCATAGGGGAGCACTCTTCCCTCAGAACTAGGGATTCTCAGAGGTGCCTGACGCTTGGGATCTTTGTAGATTGGGTAGGTTTTTCTCTAATGACATCTGACAGAAGCCTAGAAGTGCTCAAGTCAGCTTCCAAACAGCAGCACCAAAGAGACTCACAGTTATTTTACTCATTGAGATTTGACATTATTACAAAAACTCCTGCTGCAAAGAACATAACAATACTTCTATTCATTAGAACTCTATTCCTTTATTATGTGTTCTAGTTATGTGCTGACTTACGGTTCCCCAAATGTATAAAGCCTGCTAGTCAATGATTCAAATAAAAAGATACTGATACAATAGAAAAACATGAAAATATGAGGTAGTCTTCAAATAATCCAGACATTAGAACAATATTTGTGTATGAGGTGGCTATGCTTCCAGTAGTTTATTCAAAAGTATTTTATTGTTGAATTAATGAGAAGTGTAACTTCTATCTTACCAAAGTTTCCCATTTATTCAGTCGAATATTTAGCAAGATAAATTGATGTGTGAGAGAATAATGACCCCAAAAGAATAGACCCTCATAACTGAGCAGTCAATTTGCCACATGTATAGACAGTAACAGACTTTTTCCTGTGACATTAAAGATGTGTATACGTAAGCTGTGTACTTCAATCAGGAATGTAATTTTTAAATTAATTTCCATGTCATTTCCATTTACTGTGCTTTGTCTGCGATTGTGGAGCAGTTTTAGGTGAAAGTGAACTGGAAGTGAACCTGCCCTCCAGTAGTGCAGCTAGTGGACTCATTAAATGTCTAGCATGGATGTCAGGTCCCCAGCAACAACCATTCTGCTGGCCATATCATCTCCTACTGGTTCACACTACTTGTTAATCTAGACATAGCATAAAAGCCCAGTTGCAGACAAGAAAGCTGTTGTGTTAAACTATGTAGAAACACAGGGAAAAATAAAATTCCTCATCGAAAAAAAACCCACAACACCCTCACATCAAATCATGGTATATTTAAAATGAGAGGCAACAAAGACATGAAAGAAGACAATGTGTTAGCCATCACAGTAGGCTGTGGAATCAGAAAATAGAAGCCTATCTGGCTTCATTTTTGAAGGCATCGTGGAAAAGGACAGTTGTAAGAAGTTTTCTGAGTGTTTATTGTAGAGCTTCTACAAAGCATGAAGACATGCCTAAATTTATGCTTCCTTGAAAACATAGATAGATACTTGCTGATGTGAGACAAGAGCTGGCCCTTTGATTCCCAGTTCTGGCTAATAGGACCTTGAAGTTAATAGTCACAAATCTGACAACTGACTAAGATTTTTGTTTGGCCAGAAGACATATCTGTGTGAAAATTATCCATCTGAATTGGTATTTATAGATAATATGTGCAAGGGAGAAGGAAAGGGAAAAAGGTTGGAGAGTTTCAAAAAGCCCTGACATCTTCCAAGGAAGAAGCTATAGGAGATCTCTTACTGGGGATGAATAAACACAAGTTAAATCCTCTGTTTTTTTGTGTAGTCCTATTTTTTATTTATTTACATGGCAGTTTTGCCATGAAAAAGACATGCTGATCTAATCTGTCATCTGAATAACTCCTTTGGGAAGTACCTCAAAAACCTATAGCCATATATTTTCTGAGTATCCAGAAATATTGGGCAATGACACATCCAAGAAATGCTAAGTAGGAAATAAGGAAAATGTGTTCAATATAAATATGAAAAAAGAGCCATGATGTTTGTAGAAAAGCTTAGAACTATATATACTTTCTTTACACTCAATGTACCAATAGAGAAAAAGCTGAGTTCTTAAAAATTCTTAGATCAGCCATGTTGACTGGAAAGGATAGTAACAGAACTTTAATTTATCTTTCTTCTTTTCAGATATCCAAAATTGTCTGGCCATTGAATACAATTCTCCAGAGATAATAAAATTTTTATGATTTTACATATTAACTGTCTTTTCTGATACTAATTCATGGTATATTATGTGTGACTGATGGCTGTATTTTTGGAAGGATATGCATCTACTCTTGTTCCCTGATACTGTTGATTCATGCTTATTAATTCCTAATAATCTTACCATCAGAGAATGGCATTTCTGAGCTATGGTATTCTGTGTATACTTGAAGAAATTGGTAAATATATTGTGATAGGTTACATTAGAATCAAGGGAGAAAGATTTTATTTTCTAATACCTAACCTGAATGTCCTTCCATTTACTCAGAACAAGTCTGTTCGGCTAAACTTTTAATCTGAATGTGGGTATGGGAGATAGATGGGAACAAGAACAGCAACTTTTTATCAACATTTTCCTCCTGTTATGATCATTTTCCTGTCAGTCAAAATTACAATATTTTGATTTTTATTTTGAGAACAAAAGCTTATTTACAGGGTATGAAACCAAGATATATTCTCTGTATCCATGCAGAGTTAATGGTAGAGCACACAAAGAGGAAAAAAGCATGTAGTTTCTGGTGGGAGCCTGTGAAATGGTCAGCTGGTGTGAAATATATGACAGGAATGTTCATTGAGAGGCCAAGCGTCTCTGTGTTTATTTCTGACAGTATATGAGTGTTTCAGACAGGAGTGGGGTCTCTTGTAGAGTCATGAAGCTTTCTGGGATTTCCAAGGCAGGTTATACATAATACTGGATAAGAACAAAATTTCACACAGATGCATGGATCAATCACCTTATTCAGGAGTGGGTATCACAAGAAATGTGTGTTCCTGACAATCTTTCTTGGATTCTCCTTCCAGGAAAATAGAAAGAAGAATATCCTGTGGAAGAAGACCATAAGGAACACTGCTCTTCTTGCTGACATAATACTTACTGAATATTTTTTGAAGAGGAAGCACAGCATTTAACTTCTGACAATCTTAGCTAAAGCAGTATTCACTGCTGTGCATTATCCCATACTTACCTTATCTTTGATTGACTCTAACTCATAAGAGGCAAATAATTCCTTGTCTGTAAATGTGCTGCGAGGTTAAGACTTTTCTTCTGTTGTCACGCTGACACTGTGATTTCTTGTGTTCTAGGCCCAGGGTTGAACATCAGCTCTAAGCTTCCAGAGCCAAGATCAAACATATCTCAGGAGAGAAAAAATGTCAATCTGATGAAAACTCACAATAGATGTATCTGGAATTGTTATAGTCAAATAGTTCAGATAAAATTTCCATTCCTGGGATTTTTTATTTCCCAGTTATTTTGTGCCTGAAAGTTTAAAAAAAAAGACTTAGATTCTCATTCCAGGGTGAAGATTTGAATTTCAGTGCAAGTTAATAGTCTTGCAGCTTCTGACATAAAATGTCATGTCTTGTGTGTATGTAATGGTTGTACTGTGGAAGTCCTATAACGTATTGCATTGATTCATTTTACAGGTGAACATGGATTAGTACTGGCGCTGTGTTTATTTTATTATGCTAACAGATTTTCTCTGGCAGGTGTTTTACTCACAGGGTATGTCTGACTCAAGACAACGTAGTGCTGAGCATCTGAGCTTTCACTTGCCTAATTGAACTGTATTGATAGTCTCATCAAATGACCACATATATTAATGTAACAGCATCCACTAACAGCATCTTTTAGATCTTGTTAGGTCTATAATATTAAGAGGGCTATTCTAGATCCTTTGGGTGTTAGGGTATCTCTCACCATGCCACAGAAAAGAGCAAAAAGCAAGGAAATATGCAGTCAGACATCTCCCAGGTAGTTATGGTTGGAAAGTTAACAGCACTTCTGCAGACAGGCCCAGCATAACCAGACTTGAGCTCTTTTTGCTCTGGCAGGTATTCCAGAAAATATTTGCCTGTAGCTGGGGTTTCCATACATGTCTGTGATATTTTCCATAGTTTGGCACACTTCTGAGGTTTTTGCTATAACCCGATACTTTGGCAATGGCATTTCACAATCTGACACCGTGTGACATACCTCTTTCATACTCATATACACGCTAGGTATCTTAAACAAAAAAAAAAGTTGTAGTTTTTCTCATACGTATAGTAATAATTTTCCATTCTCTCATATTGTTTTCTGGGCCAAGATATTTACATAAAATTCACAAGCCCATATTCTCCCCATTGTATCCAAGTGAGAAGCCCCATTATCTGCAGCAGGGCTAATGACATTTAGATACTGTGATGTAGAAAGGCGCTATGCTCCATTAATACTTAACACATTGCTTATGTTTCTGCCCAGATCAGATGAGGCAGGACAACATTGTCTTCTTACATCTGAACAGATACACAGAGAAATGCCATCATAAGGTTTGAGAGATCGTCTAGCTAAGCATCTGAGGAGGATGCGATGTGTCTGCTCAACACAACCCTTGAAACTCTTTGTAATTCTGAGTTTACTTCTTTGTAAGCTAAGGTCAGGCAGGAATATTCACAGTAGAGTGAATGAGCAACTCTCAACTGGCTAAACAGTTTCTTTTTAGTCATAGAAATGGTGCATATGGTTATCCTACATACAGATGACTGCTTTGTGTTGCAAATAAACACAAAAGCTATTTCAAGCACTTGTCATACATGACATTTACAGCCTCTTCTTTATCTTGCTTGTGCAGAGAGGAGCTGAAAATCTCCAAATGTAATTTCTTCATTAGCAATAAATCAGCTGATTTTTCAAATCACTTGTATTTACAATACTTTGATGTAAATCTTTAAGTCGACAAACTGACTTTACAAATCATGTTTTATGTTATATCATCAAAATCTTTATTTTATAATCAATATGCAAATACGGTAAAACTCCATATTTAATCTTTATTGACTCTAGACTGGTTGTGACAAACTGACAATTATGTTGTTTTTTAATTATAAAAACAACAGCAGAAAAGGAATATAAAAATTTACAATTTTTTCATATCTAAACACAAGTGCTGCTGCTGCTGAAATGTGTTTCATTTCAGAACTGCCCTTCCTATTTTTGTTTTTTTTTCTTTTCAATTTTAGCTTATCTTCTAGCAGTCCTAACCTGTCCTTCGATTAGATTTTATTATTCCCTCAAAATAAATCTTATCACATCTTCAAGACACATTTCTTGGGGTGTTTCCACTTGGCATTATTGTACAGGGTCATGTTCTTAGGCATCATCTTCTGTTCAAGGCATAAATCCTTACTCTTCCTTTCTTTATTGTTCCAGTGCTTTCTTTTGTATCCCCATGCAAATCACATCTAGGAGGGATATTCAAAATCACAAGGTCATTTAGCAAATTTTACAAATCTCACCTCTAAATTATTTCCTTCCCATTCAGATGCTGAGGACACAGAAATACTGTTAGCTGGGAAGGGGCTACTTTCTTTAATGACTGTAAGGCATCTGGACCTGAAATACTGGGAGATGTCAGTGAGTTGAAAGTTCATAAACTTTTCAACAGTGATCCTGTTCCTACTTGAAATACTCTGACCTTTGCTATCATGTTTGTTCTGGAAGTTGCCTTATTAGATAACTGCTGCTTTAAAGCCTTGATGGATTTAATGAAACAAGCAAAGTAACTGTGAACTCTGTGAACCCATCTATTTTCTACTTAAATTGACTAGTTTGGTCACTCACCTTGTGGTAGCTCCAGTGGTAAGTTGACATGCATGTTGGTATTCCCAATAGTCTTCATTAAAAGTGGGTAAAGTAGGTCTCAGTTCAAAAATAATTTATAATAAGCTTCAGAAAGAGTATCTGAAGAGATACTTGCAGAGATGCCCTAGGAAAAATATCATAGCTACCTGTATATACAATTAAAAGCATCATGTCTTTATTTTGCTGTTTTAATTATAAAGGCAAAACCAGGGAGACAGACAAACAGTCTGTCAGTGCTGCCCCATGGTGACTAGCCAACCCTTAAACGCTTCCTTACTGCTATGGTACTGATTAGTTTTTTGTACATCTCAGGTGAAAGATAACACTATCAAGCCATTTGTGAATAATTAATTTTGCAGTGATTCAGGGTAATATCCACTACACACAAATTTCAGAAGCCTCTGTGACCTGTGAGAATTGTCAGTGCAAATGATTGCTCTGGCTTGTCTTTGACTGAGCAGCAAATCCACTGAAGCTTTGTGTCCTCCACAGCTGTGCTAGGAGATGCAGTCCCTTGATGGATTCCCTGAACTCCAAGAAAGGTTGTAGCCCTTCCCCAGAGGGGGCATGCATGGGTCTCCTCCCTTCTTCTTGATTGCTCCATGCAACCTGCAGGAGATAAAATCTTTGAGACAACTTCTTCCTTTATCAAGTTTGGCCAATAGATTTAAACGTGTCTAGGAGAGGCCAACTGCCAGATACATGCACATATGGATGTGCACAAGAACATTTTGTTTTGGTAAACAAAACAACTTGACTTGTCAGGCCTTAAAGATCAAAATAGCCATTATAAAGAACAGAAAAATGTGAGCCAGTCCACGTGAAATTTCATGATGGCAAAAATGTTTCTGTCTCTTAGAAGGTGATAAAGACATTTCTCTGGCCTTACTGTTTTGCTAAAACTTAGGAATTCAAATTGTAGATGTGAGCTGAATTGTAGATATGAGCTGAAGACAAAGCATGAGATAATGCAATTAATCAATTAATTCATTAAATAATTAAGAGTGAACTTGTTTCAGTGATTCTTGTTTGAAACTGGTAAATTCCTGTTGTTACTGAGATTTTTAAATCACTCTCATTTTCCCCCTGCCTGATTCTTTTGTAAGGAAATAAAAATAATGAGATTCTTTAGAAAAGAGTCTGATAATAGATCTTTCTAGATCAGTGTTTCAGGAGCTGCCACTTTCCAGTATATATTTCTTTCATAATAAAAAATAATAAAATCAAGGAAAATTCTCAGCCGAGGTACACACTCAGCAATATGAAAGAGAAAGTGTGATGGGAATGATTAATTTCATGTTAAGTTCACCTATTTTTCTCCTAACTATTTGCTTCTGCATAAGGCCATTAAGAAAAAGGAATGAACATCAGTAGTCACATTCTCCCCTATTACAACCACTTACAGGCTGCTATTTGACCCTCCAATCTGGCAGACCAGCTCTTTTATAGCTTTTTACTCATGACATTGGTGTGGGAGGTTTCTGAGGCCAGAGCCGAATGTGTCTGAGCAGCTGTTCTGCTAGGGATCACTGATGATCTTTGTGTGAAAAAAGGTGATTCACTAGAAGATTAAGTGTCTATTTTCTCTACATACAAGCCACATAACTGACATATATTCCTTTGTTTGTTCTGGCAGACCTATGAAGAGGTACAGATGGGTTTCACCTCAGATACTTCAGTGTCTCCCAGTGTCTTGCTCTGTCCAGCCAGGCCAGGATGAGTTTCCCACAATGTCTTTATGGAGTGTAACATAGCCCTCAGACTAACATTGATGTTAGTCTTGCATTGCAAAATTGTTCAGCCTGTAAGTGGAGCCCACTTCAGGTACTTCATGGCCTTTGGCAGGTTATTCTTTTCATCTGGATGCTGGAACACAGAAACTTGTCCCAGGAAAAGGCATGTAGACTCATGCCAACGCTTGGCCTAAGAAATGACTTATGGTAAGCAGTCACTGAGCATAAGGAATGCAGCATCTCTGGGAACTGGAACACGGGTCTCCTCATATCCATGTGAAATTCCCAACTGACCTGGTAAGGGACTTGAGTGTCCCTTTTTTTTCCTCTCTCTAGACCTCTGAGCACTTCAAATTTTTCTTCAGGAACTCAGCAGCTTCGATTCTTGGAGGAGAAAAAAAATCTCCCAGGACCTAGTTATTAGCATATTAACCTGGGCTGGCAAAAGTTTTAAATCTGAACGCCCTCTGGCTGGACAAATGTAAGGTCTCATACATGAACAGCGTCCCAGCAATCCTTTTAAGGGACAGTGGTAAAATCTGCATTTGGAGGAG